TAATCATCTGTTCCATGGAGCCATGATGCTAAGGTTGCTGTGGACCAACTGCTTAGAATAATGGAATTTGAAGAATCCGCTTTTGTTCTTTTAGTAATTATTTTCTTTAATTCCCTTTGCTTCAAACTGTATTATTTGGTTGGTCTTAGTATTTTAAGGGGAAAGATAAAGGGAAATAATTGTTTGTATAAATCTTAAATCATGTTGTTAAAAGTTCAAAGCTAACACTTTACTCGTTTTATTACGTTTGGCTTTTCAAAAGTAACTAGCCGCTGAAATAATGAAATGATTCATTCTACCATGTGGTGCTTTTTGGGAGATGCTTCCACCAATGTTAATTAGGTAATTGCTAAAAAAATTAAGTTCAGAATGCTGTAGGGCATTAAGTCGTACAAATGAGCTCATGACTTAATCTTTGCTCTGGAAGAAGTAATATTAGACTTCAAGGATGTCTTGAGTCCAAATTGCAGAAGAATCCAGTATTAAAAATAAATGCATGGGTATAGTGAAACGTGTCACCATTATCTCTAGTTTCGATTAACCCAGTGAACTCAGTGTGCACCTGCCTTACAGAACTTGATCATAAATATTCAGAGATCCTTCATGGGTTGAAAGCTAGGTACTTTGAGGATTGCTTTCTCCAATCAGAATTGACTTGAATAAGACACTTAACTGGGAAAACCTGCTTGTAGTACCCATTGTTGGAATACTGCAGGAAAAGAGGTTGAAACATGACTTTGTATTTGTACCATGGACTTTCCATTTGATGCAATTATATTTTAATTCTGTTAGATTTAGATTTTATTTTATTTCTATACCGCCCTTCTCCCGCAGGACTCAGGGCGGTGCACAGCCAAAATAAAACATTGTATACAAAATTTAAAAAACAATTTAAAAACAATTAAATAATTTTGGCCCAAATAATTTAAAACAACCCAAATTAAAACCGAATCAATTAAAACTGAGAGGACGGGATCAAGCCAGCCCAGCTAGATGGAATAAGTGTGTTTTTAGGGCCTGACGAAAAGTCTGGAGGTCTGATATCGTGCGTAACTCAGGGGGTAGGTCGTTCCAGAGGGCTGGTGCCGCCACAGAGAAGGCTCTCTCCCTGGGGGTCGCCAGCTGGCACTGTCTGGCCGACGGCACCCTGACGAGGCCCTCTCTGTGCGAGCGAACCGGCCGGTGGGAGGCTATTGGCGGCAGAAGGCGGTCTCGCAAATACCCCGGCCCTAAGCCATGGAGCGCTTTAAAGGTGATCGCCAACACTGCTTACTGTCATTGCTAAGCCGTAGCTATCAATTAATTAACCAGTCAATTAATTAAAATGAAGCAGATAGAAAATTGAACCTAGCCAACTCTTAAGATAATGTGAAGCTCATTATTAGAGTACAAGATCTTCTGGTGTCTGTGCCAAATTTAAATGTTTGTTATCAAACCCTCAAAATGGTTAGTGCTAGAATGATGTGCTTTCTCCTACATGAACTCTACGAAATTATTTCTTAGTAATATTTCTTGTGATCCAGGTTTAAGGATCAATCTGTGCAATGCAGGTAACATTCCAATTTGTAGACATCAGTTGTTAAACTTTTCTTAGTACTTACTTTAAAGTTAAACTTTTCTCTTTTGTAAAAGAAAACTGAATGACTAAACCATTAAGTTCCAAGCCTGAAAGTTTTATAGGACACGACACAAGCTATATTAACCTTCTGTTACTATTTATGCTTACTTGGTTGAGTTAATTCCTGTGTTCATTACTGATTTGTAACTATATTTGGCAACTAGTGTTCCATAGAAAAACGTAAAATCCAATCTAAAAGTTTTGCTACTCTCTCTACGCAGAGAGTAGAAAGCATGAGAAGGGAGAAAAAAGATATAAAACTCTCACTTTTTAACAGTTTTTGTTTACTAAATATGTTTGAAACTGTCTTGGAGTATTTGATTTGCAGATACATTTATATAAATGGAATATCCCACTTTCCCTTTTTTGTGATTAGATAGGCATAACTGTGTATATTGGCCTAGGATGAGTAATGAGCATATATGCATCTGACTTATATGGCCGCTTATCTTATGAAACCCAACTCTGGGTGGATCACATTTAGAAAATCCAAAGACAGTAAAATGAAAAACTTGGCACCTCGCCAGCAATCTGTAATCCATTGAACAATGTGATCTCCAGGCTCCAACCTACCTTATCCCAAAGCCTGGAGGAAAAGCTAACACTTAGTGGCATTCCTGAAAGCTAAAAGTTTGAGGACCTATTGGATACCAGGGGAAAAACTCTTCCTCAGGGTAGGGGCTACTGCAGAAAAATTGTGCTTCCTAGTTCCCACGCTTCTGGTATTTTGAAGCACCCTGAAGACATGGCTCTTTGCCCAAGCCTTTGACAAGGGGGATTGAAGCTTGTTTGGATTATGTGAGTTTGCTTTCTTTCCTGTTCTTTTTGATATCATCCTTGCCATTTTTTATTATTCATTTTTGTTCCTTGCTGCATTTTCCCCCCTTTGTTTTTAATACTTTTGATTTGTTAATCACCTGAAGTCATTTGAAATCAGGTGGAAGAAACAAACAAACAAGCAAATAAATAAATGGCAGCATGTAAGGAAAGAGATCTGAGCCATGCCCACCCTATCCAACCTGGTGGGGTGAGCAGATGCTGTCATGGACATGAAATCCAACTGATCACCTAACTCTCTGCTATGTAGTGCTATAAGGTAATAACTAGTGCCTTGAATTGTGTCATGGGCAAAAGCGATAACCACAGTTAGATAAGAGAAATCTGAGTCAGGGCCATAATTGTAATCTGAGAAAGTGTCTCAAACAAGACTGTCTCTAGTTCACATGAAGATAATGAGGGGTGGGGCAGGAAGCACAATCAGCCTTAGAAGATCTGTTAACTGTAACCTTATATTTATATCAGTATTAGCCTGCATGACTTTGGTTTCCTAATCAGATCTATCTTAAAGGGCTGGCAAACTGCATCTGGGGGAAAAACCTGGCAGCTCTCACAACAGTGATGAGATAATGGGCACCCAGCACCCCATGCCGCTGTGTTCCATTGCAGTTGTAACTTGGCCTTTAAAAAAGATCAACAAGATGTAAAGTGCATTGTAGTAGTCCAGCTACGAAGCGACCAAGTCATGAGTTCCTATGAGCAAGGCCGCCCAGATCAGGAATGGGCACAATTGATGCACAATTGTGCAATTTGTACAAAGGCTCCCCTAACGATGGCTGCCACCTGTTTGACTGGGAGCTGCAATTCCAGGAAAATCTGCAAATCGCTCATCAGCTCTGTCTACGGAAGTGCTACCCTGTCAAAGATGGCACATCATCAGCCCATGGGGCAGCAAAAAGCCAAAGCAACTTGGGTCTTTATAAGGTTGAGTCAGAGCCACTTTTTCCCCATAGGTCAACTTTGAAATTGTGCTGATAAATGGTTCAGGCCCGGTGGTGGAATGTAATATAGGCTTCTAAAAAGCTATTTCTCCATGAACAACCACCTTTCTTTTCAAATTCAAATATTTCTGGGAAATGTGGCCATTATTCTTTGCCTGCCAAAAAGTACACATAATGGGCTGTAAGAGTAACCTTGAGGAAAGGAGATTTTTTTTAAAAAAAACGCAGAAATGTAATTTTAGAAAGCATCTCTGTCTTAACCCTCCCTAATTCTCTTGAAGATAAGAGGAGGAAGGAGCTGTTTGTATTTGGAAGATTCTGTTACTGTAACATAATAAAAAACAGTTTTAGAATGCATGACTTTATTCTCCTCGTCTGATCAATCTTGAATTGCTGACAGCATGGGAGAGAGACTAAAGGAACAGATAGGGAAAGGCAGATTTTGTGACTTCTTAAAAAAGCTGCTGAATAATTTGGAATTTAGATAACGGGAGCTGTTCGCCCTGGCCTATAGCTAGCAGCCTAGTGCCTAGACTGGGTGAGGAGCAGTCATTTTGGTTTACTTACTAGATAGCTACAATATTTTGCTTTCCCTTTCACAGCAGGGAGCGGAGCAAAACTGCTTCTTTTCAAACTTGAGTTTTTCTGCTGCTTTATTTTTGAGGAGAAAAGGAAAGTGTGCATGTGGAGGTAAAATCAAGTGAAACAGAAAGGCCTAAAAATAAAAGAGGGGTAAAGGATGTGACATGGACAAGGGAAGGAAGAGAAGGTGAGAGAGCATTTTTTTCCTGCTCCTGTGACCGTAGACTGGACTGTAAAGCTGAGTTTATATGACTGCTGCTTTTAAAAATTAGACAATCAACCAGCGCAATGTCTTGGTTATATGACAATTTGCCTTTTCTACCTTGCTTTCTTGATTTCAAGCTCTTCATTTTGTTATGAATTATAGGACAAAATTAATCCAACAGTGTATCATATCGTTTTGCACTTGCCACCATTATGAGATTTCTCCCTCAATCACCACCAAAGTTATGCTTAAGCTGATTTTTGTTGTTGCACAGAAGGTCTCAAAATGTATCCCATTCCAGTATGGCAGACACAAAAATATGAATCATAAGCATGGATCATTATGGAGCCTGTTGTGTTTCAAGAGGTTCCCCCAGATCATCAGCAAATCACAATTCATTTTCATGTCCATATTTTCTCTGAGTCCATAAAGTTCCATATACAAAGATGAATCAGAAAGATGTACGTTTCAGTCCTGGTTTTGGACTGTGTTGTCACTGGCCAGGAGAGAAGACTTGATTTTTCTGTGATTTGATCTGAGGTAGTTTTGAAGAGGTTGCTCAGCAATTCTAATGAGCACATCAACAAAGGTAAACAGCATTTGAAAGAAGTGCTTCACAAGAGTTGAAAGCAGGAGTGTGAAGGAAGCATGGCTTTTAAAAAACATTGTGTTATATTTTCAGCATTTTAAAGTCTCTAATAGGGATTATGGTGGGCTGGTTTCTGTTATCGGGAATGGGCGTAATAGGCTTTAACCTATTTAGTGAGTCTAGTAAACTAAAATTTCTGTTTGCTATTTTGTTTTCCTTTTAATTCAGGCAATTGCTGGATATTTTGATGTATATTTTGAGAAGAATTGTAACAAACAAGTAAGTATTTCAAAGCTACATGTTTAAAATTAATTGTAAAATATATTTTATATGTTGGCAGCTTTTTGCCTTAAGGTGTTTGGAAATAAGCCTGTTTGATATTGCAAACATTTAACACGTATGGTTGTATAATGAATTAATGAAGCTTGTTATTTAGAATTGTACTTTATCAGGGTTCTCTGAATTTTGTTACTGCAGATCCTGCTTTCAACTAGTCCCTGTTGTACCAAGACACACTGGAAACAAACAATGTTTTTTCTGGAAAAACCAATTTCTGTCGAAGAAGGTATATATTTTTGCCATGTCGTTAGACTTTTCAGAATAGATTGGATGTTAATATATCCACATACATCTCAAAAGCTTAACCCTATGCCACCACTATTTCCATTTTGCCTTTCATTGTAGCATATGTGAAAGTTATTTTAATACTGATCCAGAATTTTTAAGACTCTTAAAAATTAAAAAAATAGGTGGAAATACTCAGCCTACTAAGGGTGAATAGGATCAAATCTGATTAGTAATAAAATGGGAGACTACCAGGAAACTGTAGGCTAGTTTGGAAAATTGAAATAACATCCTGGGAAGAAGATAATGACAAATCACTTCCTTATCATTGCCAAAAAAATAAATGTCTTAATCCATCTAGGCACAAAAAGCAACTGGCTACTTTTTTTTTTCTTACTCTGCAACTTCAACTTATGCATAGGAATTCATTTTTACATTACTATTACAAATATAAGTAGTTAATATGCACACTGAGAATTGGAATGGAGAAAAGGGACAGGAAAATGGACAAAGAAAAATTGGCATATTTGCCAAGTATTGGCAAATACTTTATTAACTTTTTCAGAACGACTTTAAGTTGGATGTGGGAGACAAACAGAGGCACATATTCAGATAGTAGTATTAGGCACTACTGGTAGCTACATGCATGGCTAGTAATGGAGGGAGTGCAAGGGAGACATTTGGAAATCCTCAACATGATGTAGGGAAACTAATAAACTGTGACATTGTCAGGTTCCCCATTGACCTATAAGAATCCATCTAACTATTTTCCATGAATTTAAGACTTCTGGACCTTGCAAATTACATGCCATTTGACAGAAGTGACCTCAGTACTGTTGACTAAAATATTGGAAACTGCCTAGAGAACTGATTGGAAGGGCAAACATAGTCCCAGTATTTGAAAAAGGCAATAGAGAGACTCTAGGAAATGACAGAGTTAGCTAAATGCCTAATAATATTAATAGATTGCCTACAACCTGTTTGAAAAGGCACTGCTACCTCAACATGGGTTTTGCAGAAACAAATTGTTGAACTAGACTTATCTCTTTTTATTTCAAAAGGAATCACTGGGGGTGGGGGGAGATATGGGAATGCTGTGGACATAGCATATCATAATCCCAATAAAGCATTTGACAAAATCTCTGCTTGTACTCTTTAAGGACAAGATGGATGAATATGGGCTAGAGGGTAATGTGGCTCAGTAGATTTTGCAGTTGGTTGAACCAGCACACCTTTTATTAAATGATTCTGTAGTGACTGAATAGGATCCCCAAGATTCTGCCTTCAAACTTGTGCTTTTCTATATCTTTATGAATAGCATGGAATAGAAGGCATGCCAATCAGATTTGAAGATGCTACTAAACTTCAGGGGTTGGCTGGTATCATAGAGGACAAAAAAATAAAATAAATCACAGTTCAGAATGACCTCAAGAGGGTTAACTAATGGGCAAAACCCAAAATGATGATGTTCATTGATAACAATAATAAGGTTATCAATATGAAATGTATGAGTACAGGATTAGATAAACATGCTTTGACAGCAGTGTATATGGAAAGTTGTTAGGAATAACACTGAGACACCAACTAACAATGACAAACAATGTTACAGTAGCTAAAGTGGTTAGTGCCATTTTGGGTCATATTAACCAAAAGATTATGCCCAGAACACAGAAGATAATATTTCAATTGCTCTCTATACTGGTTAATCTGCACTTGGAGTAAATACTTCAGCAAATCTGCCCATTTTTCTTCGTTTCCTTGTCCCTTTTCCCCATTCCCATTCCCAATGTGCATATTAATTATTTGTGTTTGTCATGGTAATGTAAAAATGAATTCCTATGCATATGTTGAAGTTGCAGAGTCATAGAAAAAAAAAGGTAAACAGTTGCTTGACTTAACTTATTGTGTCTAGATGGATTTTTTTTGGCAATGATAAAATGGTTTATCATTATCTTCTTCCCAGGATGTTATTTCAATTTTCCAGACTACCCTATTATTTCCTGATAGTCTCTCATTTTATTACTAATCAGATTTGATTAGTAATCAAGGCACCACACTTTAAAAAGAATATGTAGAAACTGGTGCAGATTCAGGTGTGAGTGAATGATGCTCTGGAATGTGACAGTGGTACAGAATGAGGTTCAACAGAACATTGCCATTGTGCTTCATTTTTTCTCAATATTTTGCTACAGGGCTAAATCAGTGAAGAAAGACCCATCTTATATTTCACAGACAAGTGAATCTACATTTCTCTTAAATGGCGTTTTTTTTTTAAAAAAAAAAATCAGAATCTTAGATAACAGAAATACACACCACCAATTCTACACAGCTATTGCTTGAATATGCTATTGTTTTATTTATACGAATTTATACTAAACTTGGCTACTTTTCCTCAGCTCTTAATAGTGTGTGTTTGTGTATGTGTTTGCATACACACAGACAATATATACCGTATTTTTTGCTCCGTAAGACACACTTTTTCCCCCAAAAGTCACGGTGCCGATCCTTTGGCAAATAGCAGCCGGGCCGTGGCGGCAGGGTCCTTTTACAGTGCTGAACCCCGCCTCTTCTGTCTTTGTCATTGCCTGCCTCTTCTGTCTCTCTTCCACAATGCAGGAGTCAATAGGCAGAGCTGGCACATGAGAGGACACCTATCTGTGGTCCTCTCAGGCTCCTGTTCAGAATATTTTTTTTTTCTTGTTTTCCGTCTCTAAATCTAGGCGCGTCTTATGATCAGGTGTGTCTTATGGAGCGAAAAATACGGTATATATTCTGTATCTCCCCTGACATAGTATGTTTTCTACTTTCTGTCAGTGTATATAACTTAACTTGGTTTTTTTCCCCCAAAAAAGCTTTATTTCTTGAATTAAGCTGAAAAATAAAATCCTTATGCCACCAAGTTCTATTAGCAATAAAATAAGCAGAAGTGCATCTTTTATGTTTTTATGGTGCCTTGCCGTGTGGTTTTCTATACCGACTTTAAGATAGTAAAGAGCAACCTTGAGCAATCAAAATATTTTAAAGGGGACATTTTACCGAAGGCTACTTCATTCTTGATAGTTTAATTCAGTTCAGTTATATCAATAAAAGTGTGCTCTCAGTGATGTAAATACGTGTGGGGATAGTAAGATTGATTTTGCCAGAAAATACGAAAATCATAGGAGGCAGCCTTCTTTCTAGACTATTAGTAATATTTGAATTTTTTATTAATTTCAATAAATGCACTCAAAAATAATCACTTTTAATTTGAAATTTAAAATCATAGAAACAACGGGCACATTTAAGACCATTTTCTCAAACTGAATCTGAAATACAGACCATGCAAAGCCGGTAACTCAAGCGTATGGCTTACTAGTGATGAGCCAGTTTGTGTTGTGTGGTCCTAGACATGGCGTATTTATACTTGCTGTTTCTGGAGGCTTACTGCTACTAATCTCATTAGTTTATGAACAATTTCCCATCTTGCGGTTGAGCAATATAATTACTTTTAGCCCTTAGCTGCCGTAAAGATCATGCAGTATGTCTGTTTGTAACATTTCCATTGAAGTAAAAAGCCAACTATGACGATTGCTATAATGTGCTCAGCCGTAGAGCCAGACCTCCAAGGGATTAAAAAAACATAGTAATTATAATTGCATGCTTCTCTGGAAGATTTGTTAAAGGCAAATCAGACTTGATTTTCTCTGCCGGAAGAGTGTCAGTTCCATAGGAGCAGGGTAATGAATTCAGGCCGGATCAAACTACAGCGTGACTTCTATCTCGCCTGCTTCTTCCTGAGCAGAGGTGGTGCGTCTCAGCCTTGGAAGGCATCCTCTCTACTGTGTAAGCTGTGCAAAGCTGATGAGAGCACATCAGTCATTTTATTTTCCCATGGCATTGATTAATTGGCCTGATCTTCTTCCCCTGTTCTGATTGCCCTGCCATTGCTTTAGTTCAGGAACAGAAATGGTGGCGCACAAAAGGAGATTTAATGTAGCCCATTGGAGCGAGAAAGGCAAAGATCTGCCTCGTGACAATGAATAAAGCTGATTGTCTGGGTCACTTAATGCAGTTAGCTTGGTAATAAATAACGGAGGACTGCCCTGATTGAAAACTGTCATCAATTCTTATAGAAATGTTACTTTCTAGATTTCACAAATTCATCGGATTTCACAGATCCATTTGCTTTAAAAAGCAGGTTTAATCCCTTTATGCGTAATTAAGGTGAGACTGTATGCTGATAAAATAATCTCGGGTAGAAGTACAGCTTTACATTAACATTTTAGAAAACTACTAGCATTTTTCAGCTAATACAGGTAGTCCTTGACTTATGACCACGATTGAGCCCAAAATTTCTGTTGAGTGAAACATTTGTTAAGTGAGTTTTGCCCCATTTTTTGACTTTTCTTGTCACAATTCTTAAGTGAATCACTGCCGTTGATAAATTAGTAATACGGTTGTTAAGTGAATCTGGCTTCCTCATTGATTTTGCTTGTTACAAGGTAGCAATAGGTAATCACATAATCTTAGGACACAGTAATGGTCATGAGTCAATTGCCAAGTGTCTGAATTTTGATCATGTGATCATGGGGATGCTACAAAGGTCAAGTAGCATGTAGGTGTGAAAAATGGTCATAAGTCACTTTTCAGTGACTTTGACGTTTCAGTGACTTTTTTCAGTGACGTTATAACTTTGAACTGTCACTAAATGGACTGTTGTAAGTCGAGGACTACCTATAATTGTTTTTGCTGTGGATATTTTGAAGTTAAATGTCATTATGTTTTGTTATACACATATCAAAAAATTAATCTGTTTACTTATAAAGATTATTTACTATAATAATTGAAGCTTTTTTGTTTTAAGAATATTTATTAATAGCAAAAATGTATTGTGTTTTTCTATTTATTTATATTGCTCTTTTGATTCTTTTTATTGCTTATTGTCTCTTTGACAAGAAGGGTGGCCATGTCCCAAAGGTTCTTTTCCAAAAGGCAACTGGTCTTTCTTGGATTTTTTCCTTGGAAACGTTTCTCATCTCATCCAAGAAGCTTCTTCAGTTCTAACTGAAAGGAAACATTTTTAAGGAAAAAACCAAAGAAAGTCCAGTTTGGAAAAGAATCTTTGGGACAACCATGATGTGAGAATCTCCATAGACAAGACAGCCATGCAAATACAAATAAATAAATTCATGTCAAATAATTGAGTCATCCAGGTTAAGCTGAAATCTAAAGAGATATGTAGGAAAGCAGGATGTTATTACTATAAGATTAACATCATTAGAGCTAGTCAGGAGAAATTGTACCAATAATCATCAGAACCTCGCCATGTAATATAAAATTAATATTGTGGTAATGGACAAAATTTTGGGAAAGGACAAAATTTATTGTTCTTAGTGTTAGATAGCCATTTTGTTTTCCTTGTTATTTTTATTTTTAACTTATTTGTAAGTCTTTAAACGACTTCGGGGAATTGAACAACATATAATTTGTAGCAGAAATCTTTCCACTTTACCTCCATCTTTTCTCGGGGGTAGACTTTGGGAGGAGAGGCTGTAAGAACGAGGGATTTAAATCAGCAAATAATATCTGTTTGCTTGGCAGAAAGACACTTTTGGTTAAAGGACTTAAAATCTTTGCATTTGTGTTTTGTTTCTGTAGGTGAAGAACTGAAAGGAAGGATAACAATTCACAGAAACCGAAAAGATCTCCGCGCCCTCATTGTAACACTTTCAATTAAAAATGTGAAGCAGACATACAGTCTACAGTGAACATTGCCCCACAATCATCTTGAGAAGCTTAGTTCAATTACCAAATGCTTCTTTTTGAAGCAGAAAAATCTGGATAAAAATTTAAGTTCATTTGGTTCTACTTCCAATAACTTTTGTTTTCCTGGACGTATAGCTGATTTTATTTCCTGGACATATAAGACAACTGACTGTGCTTGGCAATCAGCTCATGCTGTCCTAAGAAATTATTTCACTTTGTGTGAGAAACCATTAGTAGAGTATGGAGATTCTCAGTCATCCAGCTCATGGTTGTCTCAAAGGTGCTTTTTCAAGGGGCAACTGGTTTTTCTGGTTTTTCTTTGAAGACATTTCACTTCTCATCCAAGAAGCTTCAGTCTTCAAAGAAAAACCATAAAGTCCCGTTGCCTCTTGAAAAAGCACCTTTGGGAGGTTACTAGAGTAGCAATCCTCTGCCCAGTCTCTGAATGTTCTGTAAATGTAAGAATGCATTGCTGTAGAAATACAATGCAGATCTACATCTAGAAGTGACTTCGCTTGTACAATGATTTTTTGGGGGGGGAGGGGGGAAGAGTTCATATTATTAGATGGGAACCAGAATTTATTGTGATGGAATCTCCTGGAGTTTTCTTCACGGTAGGGGTAAGGCAAGCTTTGTCCGTCACCCCTGCAGACCGCCTTATCACCACTTCCACTCTTCCGGAGAGTCTTCAGAACAGATTTTTGAGAATCTTTAGGACCTCCTGGCAGTTGAATTCATCCTCTGGTTCAAAATCTTTAACTTTGCAAGAATCAAGAGTCTTTATGTCTGCAGGAAGCAAGGCCTAGTTTCAAGATAATCATGAAAATACTGAAGACATGCAAATAGAGCTATGTGGATGTCTGACCATTTGGATTTGATTAGCTTCAACGATGCATTGGCAAGAATTAGGCTTTTGTACACATTATTTTTATAAACATAGTTTCAAAATAAATTTATTTCTTGGTCTTTGGATTTCAAATGGACATACGATATTAGATTGTAATATCTTTCAAATATTAAAAATGGAATACAAAAATTTGCTGTTATTAAAATCACCATTCACTTGAGTCTCATCTTTATCTAGAGGGCATTCCAGATCACTAACAAGGCACAGGAACAAAAGGATCTGGTGCCAGGGTAGACTACTGCAATGTACCATGTATGGGGCTGCTTTTGTGAACTATTTAGTAACGATAGGTGCAAAATGCAGCTGCCCACATGCTGGCATCTAAAAATTGCATCAGCCTTGTTATACCGATATAGTGGATGTTGCAGTAGTTGCCAATAGATTTATGGTTACAATTCTATATTTTGGTTCTGTTTTTAAAAGTCTTATATGGCTTGATTCTTAGCTACCTTTAGAATCACCTTCTCCAGGTAAGACTGGTGCAGTCATTGAAGTTGGGGTGGTAATTTATCCCCAAATGGGATAAATTAGTGTGGGCTAACCAGAGAGTTATGGAATAGCATCCCTCAGAGATTAGATTGGTACAGACGTTGATTTTCTGCAGAACAGTAATTCTGTAGAATTCTGTAGGGTCTTGGGACTTCAGGCTATCTATGCTGGAGCCCATGATTGGTGTATTAAAGCATAATATCACTTTTTTATTTTTATGGATGATCCCAGTTAACAGACATATTCTTGCAGAAAGTACAATTTGGTAAACTTCAAAGAACTGTTATAATCGTTATCCTACAGTCAGTTTCTGCAATAAGCGAGATTTACCATTACTGTGACTTGTAAGAGGAATGTTCTATTACACTTTAAAAGCCCTTTTCTATTCACAATTGGATTGAAGCCTGAAAAAAAGGGAGTGGACAGAAATCTATAGTGGCTTGGAAAGCTTTTCTAAGGAGGGTGAATGGAGGAGAAATGTGCCAAAGCGATTAAAGGAGATTCCCTCAAAATAAAATATTGGCCTTCCTCCCCAGCCAAATTTCTATTAGAAAAAAGCATCTAGGAAATGATTTTTTTTATTAGAACCAACCATCATTGGAATGTATATGCAGGAGCCTTCAATTGTCTGGCCCTGCCCTCTCGGGACATTCAGCCTCCGTAAGAATTTCTTCTTAGTTTCATAGATCATTTTAGATCACTAGTCTGGCACCATTAAGCACATTAACTCTGACTTTGCCTTGTGTCAAATGTTTTGCAATAAAAAGCTTTAAAGATTGAAATTTACTTCATTGGCTGATGGGATTATAATGTGGCATTTGACTCTCTCTCATCTCTCCATATTTGCTTTCATGATGGAAAGGCTGGCTGAACTTTTTCACGACTCTGTTTACTTAGTAAAAAAGCTGAAGGGGATTTGTTAGCTACTATTAACAGATTGCAGAGTCTGTTCAGTGAAGTAGTTAAGATACCAGGCTAGAATCCAAGAGACCTTAACACCCTAGGCATAAAGCCAGCTGGGTAACTGAGCCAGTCCCTCTCTCTCTGTCTTAGGACAAAGAGAACAATGGCAAACCACTTCTAAATTTATTGACTATAACTGGGAATTACCTGAATTAGATTGCCTATATAATTTTATTTTTCACAACTAATACATAATAGGAGTATTTCCTATGCCCCAGAGTTGGTTTATCAAGATGCACCCTTAAAATCTCACTATCAAATATTAATATACTATCAACAATTGCTTTCTAATATCCTTGTGCCCACGTTTTTCCTGTTCTTTTCCAATAAGTGCATGCCTAAATAATTGTTGTTTAATATATCCTTATAGTGAAATTAATATTTAAAAATCTAAACCATTATATCACTAAATAGTTTCCTAATGGGGCAAATCTACATGGGCTATTAAAGCTGAGAGAGTTGTAATTAGCTAATGTAACTACTCTTTGTGTTTAGTATTTTATATTGAATTATTTTAGTTACACTTTCTAAGCAATTTTGTATTGGAGCTAACTTGAACATTCTACTCCTTGATTAATGGTTTCAGTGGTTTTTAAGGACTGAGGGCTTGTTATAGGAAGATAAAGCTAACTGAGGCAACATTGAGGAATTTTACAGGTTTAAGAATTCACTCTGAATGACAAATACTTCAATGTTCTTCATAGAGTATGTCCTATCAAATCAAATTATTATTTAAATAAATATTGAAATCTTACAATATCACCATGTGTCATGAAAACATGGCATGTAAGAACTTAACAAGTAGATGAGAGTGGGTTTTTTTCCCAAATACCAGAAAGATTATTTATTACTATTTATTTTGATATCCTGACTTCGTTATTTTTTAAATATCTTAAGGTGACGAACATATGTAATATCTCTTCTTCCTCCTATTTTCTTCACAACAACTACATTGTGAGGTGAGCTGGGCTGAGAGAGAGTGACAGGCCCTAGTTTACCCAGCTGGCTTTCATGCTGAAGGCATGGTCATCTAGTTTCTAGCCTGGTGCCTTCACCACTTAGATCCAACTGATTCTTCTATTACACAAAAGATAGCCAAGAGAACATTGGGATGTTCCGTATCACCCCAAAGTGTATGAAATGTTAGCTTTAAATTTCAGGAAAACAGATTTCCAATTAATTTGAAATACCTCCCGCCCGGTAATGTTAATACCAGTTCAACTTCGAAATCCATTAGGAGATATTGCGAGTTCCCTTCACTGTGTAGGTTTGGGAAGGGACTTTGGACTTAATGACTAATGCAGCCCTTTCCAAGTTTATGATTTTAAATAATGCTCAACCATTTTTCTTGCTATTTCACCGAAGATCTAGGAGGCAGTGTTTATGAATCCCACACATAGTAAGTTTATATGAAGTATAATTGCATTGTGTGAAGCTATATATTAAAATTTACAAGCAACAACAAAAGACCAAACAAATAAAGTGTATTATGTTCAGCCAAAAAATACATACAAATTTGCATCATAGTAGAAAAAATGCAACAACAGCTATTTTCTTGATCTAGAATTGTGACCATATGTTTATTCTTAAATGGGGATTTTTGTTGAAGATAATATGTGCTATGAACTGGAACAGTCACTAATAGTGGGCCACACTATTGCAAGATAGTGGATTTTGTCAATTGAAAGCTACAGTACATTGTGAAAACTTACTTGGTTTACAACTAAACAAGTAAGAGATTTCTTACTTTCTAGTAGCAGTAGAATCACATCTCCATTATAGCAACTAAGAGCTAATACCATGAAATAATCATAGCATTGCTTAGAACGTTCCAATGGCCAATGGATAACCAAAGCAATATATGCTTCACTTAATGGGGACCAATACAATTATAGAGAAATAAAAGTTAGTCAACAAGTTAATTTGATTTTCCACTTGGGTACGACTCAGACTCCCATGAAAATGTGGAAGAAAACTCTAGAGAAAGAAGTAACATTGGCATACTCAGAAAACTACCTAATAAATGTCAACTTGGCTTTCAGCCTCTTATTTGACTGAACCAACATTCTTCAAACTTTAGGAGGCACCTGAGTAATTGTATGTTACTGTGTGGCTATATATATACGGATCTTATTTCATTTTTATTGACTAACAAGATAGACTATCAAACATGAAAATGTTTGAGTGTATCATATGGCATCATTTGCCATTTCAAGCTGGCAAACAGGAGAGAGAAAGGAGAAGGAATAATTTACTGCAACTTTCATGAATCTAGTGCTGTCCAGATACATTGAAAAACAGTTTCTAAATCCCCAAGTCAACATTTCCAACAGCCATTTCAAGCGAAAAATTTTGGGAAGTGTGGTCCAAATACACCAGGTTGAGAGAGATGACACTAGATTACCAGTTTGAGAAGTTGATACCTGCTGATTGCTGGCTTGTTGTTCTATAGGGAGTGCCTGTTTTTTTACTGCTACCCCAAAATGGACTGGAAGTCACCTTATCCGAGATGCAATGATACATATTTATTTAACTTGGTTTCATGCCTTTCTCTCCACTGCAGTTTCTTGGTCTTCTAAGGTTATAGCAATGCTGTTTTTTTAGAGGTGGAAGGTGGATACACAAGAACATTATTGCACATGATATTTTTATATGGAGCAGATCATATTTGAGTCTCATAAATATTCAACTACATTTAGTAAAACATAGTTCCAAGTATATACCATACTATTGGGTTCTATTAAACTTCTTGATTAGCTCTAAGACCTGATAATAAACAAGCCAGCTAGGAGAGTCTCCTAATAGAATTACCCTTTATCTCATTACTGGACAGCTTTGGCCCACTGTCCACTCAGCTAGAAAATTGGATTGAGAGAGGGCATATGGTGGAACTCTATGACTCAGAAACTCTTTCAAAGCTCTGCATCCCCATGATAATAAATGTTTCAGCTCTTCTAAAAAAAAAGCAGAATAAAACAAAACTAGTAACATACTATAAAAAGAAGAAAAGGAAAAAATAGCTTTAAGGCATTCATAACTCTTGATTTTTTCCATTGTGGTATGGGTCACTACATATTAACGTTTTAATTGGACTTGCATTCTACAATTCAGAGATAGATGTACCCTTTATATTTTAAATAGCTTTAAAAAGCTTCAGGTTTTTCCCCTCTGACATTTATTTGTTTCACACCTAGCCATAATGTCAAAACCATTTCTATATTTACAATTCTAGCCTAATCCCCTAAGGCTTGGAAGAAGTAATAGCATGTTGATAATATATTCTATTTTCAATATATTCAAAAAATTATATTCAAATTTTTATGTTCTAAAACTGGATCCAAATTAGGTTGTGCCCAGTGGTTGTAAGATTGAAGTCTACATATCTGGAAGACTTCAGATTGGGAAAGACTTAGCTCAGTGTTTTTAAAATGACTGATTCTTCCTTTTTTATTTGATTATCAAAGATCAAAACGTCTTATTAGAGATATTACTGTTTATCTAATTGCTTCAGTTGTTCAGCCACAACAACAGATACAAATGTGGAAAATACTTTTTTACTCTTTTAAAGCATTGGCTAAAACTTTGCTAGAACTCAAGATATTCAAACAACTTTCCCAAACTAAGATTGTGGAAATGTTTTTCCAAAAGCAAAATTGTGACAAATGACCAAACTATGAGACAGCTATTGTTGTAGACTTCATCCAAATTAACATTATACCCTTGATAAATTCTCTTATGCAGTCTTGGTATACATTTTGATTCTTTCCTAAGTAACTTACCAATTGTTTTAAAAACTTACACTGAACTATTACGGTATGATTGCAAGTAAATCAACAAGAGCTGTGGTGACGCAGTGGTTAGAGTGCAGTACTGCAGGCAACTTCTACGGCCTGCTGGCTGCCTGCAATTTGGCAGTTCAAATCTCACCACACTCAAGGTTGACTCAGCCTTCCATCCTTCTGAGGTGAAATGAGGACCCAAATTGTTGGGGGCACTATGCTGACTTAGAGAGGGCTGTAAAACGGTATATATACGTCTAAGCGCTATTGCTATATAATCCAGGATTGGGTAATAAATAGAAATAGAAACGGGGAAAAAAACATATTGTAGTATTTCTATTATGTGATAAATATCTATTAATTAAAGAGCCTTGGTGGCGCAGCAGACTAAAGTGCTGTTAAGTAGCACTTAGCTGCCAGTTGCCCGCAATTACTGCAAGTTCACATCTCACCAGGCTCAAGGTTGATTCAGCCTTCCATCCTTCCGAGGTAGGTAAAATGAGGACCCGGATTGTGGGGGCAATAAGATGACTTTGTATAAAAAGAACACCACTTAGGGGGCCCGAAAGCCCTACTAAGCAGGTATATACAAAAGTATGAAGGCTATTGCTTAACACATTGTAAGCCGCCCTGAGTCTCCGGAGAAGGGCGGCATATAAATCGAACCAATAAATAAATAAACAATAAATAGTTAAAATTGAATTTGAAACTTCCTGCGCATAAAACAGCTCCATTGTCTCTGGATTCCTCATTCCATTGTTTTGATGTAGCCCCACATTTCATTTCCAAAGCAATTATTTTAGAAGTTCTAAATGAAAATTTTAAAGTAGGGGATTGTGTAAGGATTCAGACACTGATTTCCATACTTGCTGTCTTTCAGATTAGTTATTTAAATATCCTCCTTATGATTGGCTATTTTATTCAATGCTAATCATGTTTATTTTATTAAAATGAGAATTACAATCTTGTTCAAAAATACCATTTTTGAAAAATATAGGCAAAATACTTCCTAATGCATTTCACTATCATTATAATCTTTTGATG